TAATCGGGAACGTGTGCTATCATCATACCAAATTTCAGCCCAATCCGACCAGTAGTTAAAGCGTGATTGAACTTCAAACAAACAAACCAACAAACAAACAAACACACAAACTTTCACATCTATTCTATATATAATTCAGTTTTAAAAATCTTTGTACAACTAAATCTAGAGTTCTACTGGACCGATTTTATTAATTAATGGGTCGTTAGAAAGCTTAGGTCGTGTAGATTTGCAAATAATTATGAAAGTTTGTTTTTATTATGATTTATGGTGAAAATTTTCAAAAAAACATGTTTTCCATAAGAAATACACTGAAAACGGTGTTTTTTACACTTTTTATTTGGGTACGACTTTTAGCTGCCTTTTTTTAGTGTTTCCAAGAAGTGTATGGTATCAATTTGTAGGAAATTTTATTCTCTTTCAGAATATCACCTTCCACTTTGGTCGATTTCCTCACCATTTAAAAGTTGTTTGCAAAAAAGCTAAGCAACCTCCGAATTTATAATAATGAGAAAATATTGAGTTTGGGATATTTTTGTTAAACTTTGTACAACTAAATCTAGACTTCTACCGGACCGATTTTGTTAATTAATGAGTCATTGGAAAGCCTTACTCATGTAGATTTGCAAATAATTATGAAAGTTTGATTTTATTTAATATTTGTGGTGGAAAAATAAAAATAAAAAAAATACATTAAAAACTGTTTTTTTCAGGTTGTTATTTTCAAGTTTATATTTGTAGTCAGCTTTTGGCTGCCTTTATTAAATTATTTCAAGAAATACACAGAAGGTATTTGTAGGAAATTTTATCTTCTTTCAGAATATCACTGCATTTTCTACGATTTACTCACCATTTAAAAGTTATTGTCAAATTAGATAAGTGACCTCCAAATTTTTAGTTGTTAAAAATACTGAATTAGGGATATTTTTGTTAAACTTTGTACAGCTAAATCTAGACTTCTACTGGACCGATTTTGTTAACTAATGTATCGTTGGAAAGCCTAATTTGTGTAGATTTGCAAATAATTATGAAAGTTTGATTTTATTAAATATTTGTGGTAAATAAAGAATAAAAAGCAAAAATACATTAAAAACTGATTTTTTTTTTAGTTAATATTTTAAAATTTTAATTTATAGTTAACTTTAGGTTGCCTTTTTTGAATATTTTCAAAAAACGCCTAAGAGTCCTTTGTAGCAAATTTTATTCTCTTTCAGAACATCACCTTCCACTTTGGTCGATTTCCTCACCGTTTAAGAGTTATTTGCAAAAAAGCTTAGCAATCTCCTAATTTATTGTGGTGAGAAAATATTGAATTGGAGAGATTTATGTTAACTTTCTACAACTAAATCTACAGTTCTACTGGACCGATTTTATTAATTAATAGGTCAATAAAATCTGTGTAGATTTCCAAATAATTAGTAAAGTTTGAGTTTTATTTATTTATGGTAGTAATACGTTTTGCCGGTATGAATAATCTAAAAAATTGTATGGTAGTAATAATGGGTTAGCCAGTATGCATCATCTGATCATATGGAACACATGTATTAGATTGTTTTATTGTTATTTCCTTGATTTTTCTTTGTTTACATTTAGTTGTTTACTATTTGAATTGGTGGTTGAGGTCCGTAAAGTGTGTTTCTAAAGTGATGTTTTTAATCTGTACCATTAATAAGTATTGGCAAGTTAAGTGATGTATGGATTTCATAACCAAAAATTATTATTTTAAACTGCCAATTATAAATTATTCAAATTTAATTTATAATTCACAGTTTAAAATAGTATTTAATATTTGTTATTTTGAAATGTTAATTATAAACTCAATATTTTACATTAGTTTAAAAATGAATAACTTTACTCTTCACTATATGGTTGGTGATGGAAACTGTTTCTTTAGAAGTGTCTCATTTTTATACCATAAATCTCAATCCAGATACAGTGATATACGATCCACGGTAGTTGATGAAGTCGTCAATAACTGGGACTACTATTGTCCTTTGATCGTAGGGGATAAGACATATAGACTAGAAGGAAAAAAACGCGACGGAATACAGAAATTTGATGACCTAAAGATGGGGAATACGCCGGTAATGTCGAAATCGAAGCTGCAGCAAGAGTTTTTGACTGCCAATTCAAAATATATGCTGAGAAATTGGATTATTTTGTAACGGTTGGTGAAGGCACAACGATCTATAAACTACGATTCTCAGGAAATGTGGATGCTGGGCATTACGATGTTTTGATAGACAATAGTATGCCTGAGAATCAAGAGGATATAATCTTACCAAAATCAAAACGTGGCCGTGCATAAAAAATATGGAAAAAGTAAAACATGTTCTGGCAGACGTGAATCAACAGCTCATAAAAATAAATTGAAGAAACCAAATTATAGTATAGATAAAGATTTACTCCAAGGGGTAAAAAAGTGTTTATCAAGCAATCAAAAGGATGGAGAACCAGAAAATGAAAAAGAAACAGAACAAGATAGTCTGACCAACACTTCACTCAGAGATGATGCAACTTCCTCAACCTCCTTAATTTGTGTATTGGGAATGCCAATACAAAAATTAAATTTAAAAATTGGAGCTGTAATAATATTGCTACGAAATCTTAACACAAAACGGGGGTTATGTAATGGGACACGATTAATTGTTAAAGAACTCAAGCCCAATTAAATAATTGCAGAGGTTTTAACTGGATCAGCAGCACGTGAAATTGTATTCATTCCAAGGATTGAATTAGCACAGACGGACACAGATTTACCATTTGTTTTAAAAAGACGTTGCTTTACTCTTTTAGAAAATCAGTTTATTTTCTAAACAATTTCATTCTTAAAAAAATGTTCAGGTACTTACAAGGGCATATATTATGTACTACTGTACTTTCTAGGGACCGTTGTATTTATTAACTACAACGGGCTCTGTTGCTAGTTTATAATATTAGTAAGATTGTAATCAGGCAGACCAAATGTTATATTTACCACCCGTTATCATTGTGTTGAACAGAACACCTCACATGCCTTTCTGCGAGTTTTTGTTTTGTATAATTCATATTTAAAAGTAAGATTTAATGTAGATTTTAATACACTTTGAATGCATCCGTACCAAAATAAAAGTTAATTTTATGTGTCAATTTATGTTTGGATATAATTATTAAAAAAATTTAAGTTTATAATTTTATTGAACATTTAGTTTACATTTGTCTGATAAACAAATTTAGATTGTATTCTAAATATTTGCAACTGTAGAGACCATTTTGCTATACAAATCTTTATTCCCAACTCTGTAAGAGGAATTTAATAATTAGTCTTTTTTGAAAATATTTTTTAAGTATTTAACACTGTTTTGCCACTATTATTGTATCAAACATTTTATATACTGTTGTAACACAATATGTTTTAGTCTACATTGTGATCTGTGGTAAAATAAAAATATTCCAATATCCCGCTTGTTTGCAGAAAGGGAGTAGACAAAGCAATAAATATGATGGGGTTATGAACAAAATTTCAGATCCTTTATAGACCACAGCTTTGTGTTTGTTTAGCGTAGTTTCAACGCATCACAGTCCGTCAAACACTGTTTCGCAAACACAGTCTGAAACATACATTTGTGTTGAAACAGGCCAAACATAACATAATAAACCTGTTGACCTCTGTAAGTTCAGTCATAGTTCAAGGACAACATTTTCTCTCCAAGTCACAAGGTTTTCTATTTGTAAATAACAAAATTTCAAATAAATAAAAGATGCAGTAAAGTGAGGTGTTAATAAACTTAAGAATACAATTTAAACTTGTTGGGGATTTAAATAATTTTTAGGTACAGTTTTCATTTTCTTTTTAGAACAAGATTTGAACTAAATTACATTCTTTTGATTTTTACCAACAATAATGGATGAGAAACATTTATAAAATCAGATCAATCGTATTTAAAAGTGTTAACAAAATTTTGAACTGTGTAGTATCCATTGAGTAGAACTCAAAATTAATTATATGAAATATAACTGCTTTTAAAGATATTTTATCTGTATAATTTTATAGCTCTGTTATAGTTTGCAGTATTAATAAGTTTATAAAAAACAATTTTAGTTCTTTTAACCATACCTGGCACAAAAATTTCACCACCATACCTAGCATTTAAAGTTTCATTGACTACTCAAAATAGTATTGAAAAATAACATCCATTGTGCTGTACTGGGTTTATAGATTATCGTATAAAAGTTACCTTGTATAAATATGTTTTTCTTTGCTTTTTACTATTCATTGATTTTATTTGAAGCTGTACCATTCCATTGGCTAGACATAATTTAAAACTCTTTTTATAAACTACTGTAATGGTATTTAATAAGATTTGATTGAAAATTTTAGTATCTTTAAGTTTTGACCAGATAATTTGCTTTTATTAATAGTGGTAGTGCTTTTATTGGTGTGTCTCTATTATTCCTTTAAATCAAAGAGATTAATCCAAGCTGTGCAAGCAGTGAGGCATTTATCCAACATTGGAACCCATTCATTTATGTTTCTTACCATTATCTCTAAACTTAGTGTTTGAACTTAATTTAGTTTAAAAAATTCTACAATTTTTTTACTCTGGATTGTCATTTGTAACTCTTGATTGATTGCAGTAATTGTGTACTTTGCTTAAATGTTAATAGTAACAATGTTTATCTTGATAAGGCCTTTTTCCGGTTTAATGTCTTGTTGTTTTAGATACCGATTTTTTTAAATTATTGCATACCTTTTACTGACAATGATTAAAAAGTTTTAAAAAGTGATTAGAAAACTGTATGCAACTAAAATACTTCACGGTGTTATAAATAAAAATGCAACAAATTAATTTGATATCAACTCAATTTCTTAATAGTACTTGACGAGCTCTAAGAAATGATATCCTATCCAACTGTTTTAACATTTTACCGCAACAATGTACAATACAATTGGTAATATTGATTTATTATGAAGTTAATAAAATGAGCCTATATTTAAAGAGTTTTTTTTTTTGTTACAGCCAAATGTCATGTTGAAACTATGGACTGAAGAATTCCTTAGTGTAAGTACTGTTCTTGTTTTTATTATTCATCAGTGTTTCTTTGTTTTTTGCTTGCAGGATAACTTTTAATTCAATACTCTAATATGAACTGCTACATTATACAAAGGCAAACAAAATGAGGTTTATGATTATTAGAAAATTCCTACTGGAATTTTCATAAACAGGATGAATAAATTATGTCGAAACTAAATCTTTCTTGTAAACTGAAGGAAGAACTTTTTCTGAAACATTATTGTAAATTTTAGATTGAAAGGGTATGGATGGACAGTTCCTTAGCTTTTTATTTTTAACTTTACACTTATAAATAATTTTACTACATTTTAATTAATGCTTTGATTTATTTAACAGATTTAATATTTATCGAACAAAGCTCAACAAATTACTTAGCGAGTAGTGTTTTAAAAGTCTGACAGAAATTCTTTGATTTACAGTAAGTTTAAAATAATTTATTACAGCATTTTTCAAAATGATTACTTAATATATGAACAGTTATAAAAGCTTTAAGTTTGTTTATAATTTTTAATATTTTTCAAATTTATGTTGGGTTTGAAAAAAATATTTAATTAAATATTCGAAGTGGTATATTAATCAAACTACACGATAATAATTAAAGAGACAAAATAAGCTATTAATAGTAACTATACTGTACTTAAATTGAACTTATCCTTTTTTTTTCTTGAAAATATGTCAGTAAAAAAACTTTTTTAGCAGTTTTTTTTATTTACATATTTATTGGTCATGACATTTCTCAAAATAATATTACAATATCATAATGTAAACAAAGAGAAAACAATTAATGAGTAAATTAAAATATTTTAGTAAAAAATTGGCCATTAAATTTAACATCCACCTCCAATTAATTGCAGTTGTATTTCAAGTATTATAGTTTTTTAAACAATATCCCCAAAGTTGTCTTCCAATATAAAAGGAATTTTCAAATGTTAATATAATGAAAATTCATCAATTTATTTTTTTCTTAGTTTATTTATAGGTTAGAACAGGTTCATGTTTCGGTCTACAAAGTCGTTATCAGACAAAGTATCGTTATCAAAGTTGGAATGTTGGGTTTCAAGTTGACAAGCTTCATCTTGCATCTCCATGCCTTCAGTTGAGCTAGGATCATGGCTCTGAGAAGACAAGTAACCTCCTTGAATCACCCTGATACGGTTAGTATTGTCTGCTTTTTAAAAATAATAATTTATTTATCATAGAACATACTGACATCAACAAGTGTTGTGTGTGTTTAGTGTGTAAAAACGTAGGGTCTGAGAATGGCTTATGTGTATAGGGTTAAAGGCTGTAGTCTCTGATCTTCTTACCTTAGGCATGAACCCATTTTTACTATTAAATACTGTTTTAATAAACTCATATATTCATTGATCGGTAAAATTAAATAAAATCTCTCACACACAATGTGTTCAATACATCTTCTATTTACGCACTGCTTTTTATTGTATCTATCTACACCAGTGGTATTTATTATAATTTTTATGAGGGAACATTCCAAATGCTGGTCTTCTTATTATTTAACGTTGACCTGTTGTGAGAAAAAATCATAGGCTAAGGGTTATCACAATGAAAACTCTAGAGAAAAGATCCAGAGACCATAGACTATACCTTGCTTTAGTATCATTTATTAAATCGCTTGAATTTGACTTTCATACACCTTTAATTTGTTTAGTTGTCAGTTTTGACAAAACCAGTCCTTTCCATTACAGAGCATGGCCTTGTAGTACATTTAGGGAAATAGTACCTAATTTGATTTCATATTTTGCATGGTTTTTTTTTTACAAAGCTTATTTTGATTTGATACATATTGCTGCCTAAAAGTTTTAGAAAAGCTGATCTGCAGCATTTTTAGTTTTGTTCTTTCTTTCCATTCTGAATATTTTTCGCTGTCTTTAGTTGACTTAATTCAAATTTTTAAAAATCTGATTTTAATTTTGAAACATTTTTATATAAGCATAAAACAGGATTTAAACCCGTCCCTCCGCACCGAAGTCCGACCAGCCAATAAACTAGCAACACAGTTTTTAACTCACAATCATCACTGTGTGTTTGAGTGCAACACTGCCTTATTCAATCCGTACTTCCACAATCCTGGATGGCATGGAAAATTTGTTTAGTCCGATTGAGTGTTTACTGTAGGCCTATATTTCTAATACAACCTTCTTAATTTCCAAAGTTTGTAGATTAAATGCAGCTGGTTTTGTGGTTGTAACGCGACATTTCTGTCAGGAGGCCCAGTTTTAAATCGTACCAATAACTAATAAATTGATCTGTTAATCAAGAGTTTACCCAAAACTGTAACCCTCCAAAAAAATAAAAATTGCTGATGTCTCACAGTGAGAATTGTCTCTGTAATGGAGATCTCACTAAAACAATAATTTGTTCCGTAGTTGGACAGGACATCAATCAGCCTACTTGTGATGATATGTGAATGTCCGGTGTGTGGGAACGTGGCCAAGCCTCCCATGAAGATGTGTTTCAACGGACACGTCAGTTGTGTGGCTTGTGTACTAGATACCCCATCTTGCTCTACTTGTCAGGTAAAGGACCATGGTTCCAACATTGGGGACAAAAACAGATTTTTGCTTGAGGATTTTAAATATGTTTTTAGTATTTTTATCTTAAGACTTACCATGAATTTGTGGATCATATCTTTCCAAGTGTATGGATTCAGAGGCCTACAACCTCTGCAAGCTCTGAATCTAAAGTGGTCAACTGGTTCAGGGTTCCTATTACTCCTACTTGTAGGTTTTAGTGGAATTGTCTGATCCATCCTACTCTTAAAAATTAACACCTTTTTGGCTTAACTAATTTCTTTATTGTGCCAACAAGACATAGTAGTAATTTAGAAAAAAATATATTTAAAAAAAATTCAATTCTGTGGTGTATAGTAGCTTACTTTTTCCTTGACAACTTTTCAGATTTGACAACTTCAAAAGTGTCAAGGATGTAGCCTGGCCCTTTGTCCAACACAGTTTGAGACTTTTCTGTTACATAGTGTTACATACTGTAGCCTAATTACTTTTCAGAGTTTTTGGATTGAATCTGATGACCAAAAAAATATCATGAACTTATTTCTCTATTAGAACTAGTAGCACAATGCCACACAAAATTCAAACTATTTAAGCTTATTTTAACACTTTGTTACGGTAGACTACAGATCCCCATTTACCTGGTAGCTTTAGACAGTTATTAAACAATTAACATTTCAGGAGCGTTTCTCCTGTATCCGACCAATGGTGATGGAGCAGATTATGAGAGTGGTGGGGGGTGCATGTCGAAATGCTCGCTGGGGCTGCCTGGTGTTCCCAGACCCGTCTGTACGCCAGGACCACGAGCAAGTGTGCGGCTGGCGGAGAGTGAGATGTGTCTGGTGCTGCGTCTCCGTCGGCGTCAACAAGTGGGCAGAACATGTGGTGGATAAACACGGAGCACACGCCCTCTGTTACGACACTCAAGGTGACACCTACCACTTGTGGAGCTCTTTTTGATAAAAATCTGTTTTATAATTGTTTTTTTTGTATTGTCTTTATCTAAGCCTTTGAAATATTTGAAGTAAGGGAACGTTTCAAACTCTGGCCTTGTTATTGATGTCAACCTCTAGATAGCATCGTTAATTACTAGCCCAATGACAAAATGGCATCTGGGTCAAGAAACAGTCTAGCCTGGAATCAAACCAGCGATCAGCCTTCAGATTTGAAGGCAAGGACTATGACCACTTGGCTACACAGACAAAGTGTGCTGGGAGGTTTGGGGATCTGGGATTGTTTTGGCGGTTTTAGGTCTAATGATTAAAAAACAGGTTTGATAAGGGTGACTACTGATCACAGGAGTTGGATTTTAAGTGGAAGGTCGCTGATTTTAGTGGGAGGTCAGGAAATCTACCGGAAAGTTCAATGTTTTTAAGTTACTGAGAAGTCAATAATCTTCAATTAAAAGTCATTGATTTTAAATGAGGGCCTCAAAAAAGTGTAATACAGTTTTAACCTTTATCTTTTATAAATTTTGTATTTAGTCAAAACAATCAAAAGTTTTGAAATACAATCACACACTCTTGAAATTTTTTATTTAGAATTCATTACAGCAAAAAGTAACTGAAAAGTCAGATTTTGATTCAGGGGAACGAGAAGACAACCTGTTAAATTCTCTTTTGCAATACCTGCAATTGGGTTTTGATTGCAATCTAATAATAAGAAAAATAGTTTTTTGAATGTTTGCATCACTCAATGACCCAACTGAAGACATTTTTCAAATATTTTTCAGGTCTTGAGGCTATTCCGTTGGGCTTGAATGAAGAAAAGAGTCTCTTCTACATAAACGGAGTTATGTTTTGCCTGTATATCATACGGAGGCAGGATCATGGACCTCTTCACCTTATTTTGCAATGTTTCCCGACATCAAAAGATGATATGGACACTATTTTCGAAGTCCAGTTGGAAAACAAAGGGTTGTACTTTCGACAGTCAATCCATCCCATTTCGGATGCTGTTAAACGGTCAAAGGTTTTTGAGAGTTTGGATAAGGGTATTACCATTCCTCATTACTTTTTGAAACAGAAAGATTACTTTTACTTCAAAATCACTATGCCAATTATCTTTAATAATAAAAAGGTGCTTGCTGCTCCCAAAGTGGAGTGTTGAAAATGTACTTTAATTTGTTTTGGGGTTTTGTTGAAGCAAGGAGATTTGTACGATGATCCACAAAGTGGTTTACATGTTGAAATTGTGTACACGAATACCTAGCATCACTCTGATGAAGTAAAGTAGTTACAAAGAACCTCCTTTTAATTTTTACCTATGTTTAACATGTTATTTGTTTGTTGAGAAGTGCAAATTTAAAGTTAAGCGTAAAGCTGTTGATTCCCATGCTGCTAATTCATTTTGTTAATTGTTAATATTAAATCATAAGATATTTTATGTAATATAATTACACATATTAGTTACTTGTGATCGTGTTTGGTTTGTAGTTGTATGTATTATTAAATGTGTTTTGCTTTTTGTAATTTACTGAATTATAATTGCCATGAATAAATCTCATTGGTTAAATTGTCGAATTTGATTTTAAAAAGGAATGTATAGAGTCAAAATAAAACTATGTCTTGCACGACAAATCTATTTTGTATTTAATTTTGTTGAATTTGTTTATATTTATAATAAATAAAGTATTTGATCCTACATCATGTCTTATACAAATATTTTGTAAAAGCCTAATAATTTGCCTTTAATTATAATCATGGGCTTAAAAAATTTTTGCTTTTAGACAATAATGAATGCACAAGAAATTTCACTTTTAAGTGCACTCTAGTTTAAGTAAGAATTCATGGCCGCCATTTTGAAATTATACAAAGTGGAGACTTGATGCTTTGCAAAAACATAGTTTCTATTAGTTATCATACACGTGCCAAGTTTGAAGTTCGCACCTTAAGTCATTTCAAAGTTATGGGAAGATATCTAAAAAATACATACACACTGACAGACGGAAAACGAAACAAGATAGGGCATATGTTTATATGATATTTTTGGTTTGTTTTGACTTTAGGATCATGCCCACGGAGTTTCGGTAGTTTCAGAGTTTCGAAACACCCTGTATATGTGAACATTAGCACGATAACTCTGAGAGTAAAAATCATCTGATTTTGATGAAATTTCGTACAAACGTGTAAACCTACAATTATTTGAACAGATACGCAAATTTGATCAGACTATGGGAATGGTGATTTTATAAGGGGTTTTATGGAGTAAAAATAGGGTTTTCTCAGTTTTGATCTGCAGATTTGCTACAGCGGAGATATTTTTTTATCTCTGACGTCAACATGACGTTGGAACCTGCCTGGGGGGGGGGGTAGTTGTCGGGGGGGGGCAGTTTTGCGGCGACCCATATTTTCTTTTCTAGTTAAAAAACTAAAGGGGACATGCAATTCACCCCATGATAGCAAAACATTTAGTCGACATCAAGAACCTCAAAAATAATTTGACATCAAACATACATAAAAGTATCTTCAGATTTGACTTGCACTATTACAATTTTACTATCATTTATGGCTGTGATGAGAGAACTTTATCAATTGTATGATATTAGCAACATGTATGTGATGGAAGGACCCTGATTGGTTGCTATCAACAGTGGATGGATGTGCTGTCAACTTAAACTGACACATCAATCTTTTAACCAACCCTGCCTATTACGATATTGGATACCACTTGAACCTTTTCCTAAAAATGTTTTATAACTTTCCTCAAAATCAGCTGATATTGAAATCGTCAGAAGGCTGCAAATCGTTTCTTACTCATCCCAAAGTTATCTCTTTCTGTACAGGCTTAAAATATACTAAGCTATTCATAGCTACATTACCTCCTTGATCCTCCTTAAGAACAGGGGCGTCGCACAAAAAAAATATTGGGGAGGGAGACACTTTGAATTTCCCAACTATTTTATGCGGATTTCCCAACTATATTACACTAATTTCCCAACTATATTACACATATTTCCCAACTATATTACTCAAATTTTTCAACTATATTACTCAGATTTCCCAACTAATTAATATTAAGTTTTAACAATAAGAAGGACATTTCACCTTTAGATTCTCTTTTTACACAATTTTTTTCAAATAAATTAAGGTTTTTCGCACATTATTGGTTTGACTACCAATCTTCATTGCTGCATATGTTCACACAGTAGGTCACTGATCAATAATACATCAAGCTTTTAGCCTGTTAAAATCAATTTGTAATAAAAACTCAGTGGATATGGCACTCCACCATAGAACTACAGTATAAACAAGTTCTATGCTCTCCACGCAAGGAAAAGGAATTTCCCCAAACAGCCTTGAACTACAGAAACGTTATGTAACGTTGCATTTTACTCAACATATGAATTTTCCAACAATTTTTTACTTGAATTATTAGTTTATAAGGGTAAATGTCTGCTTAGTTTGAAAATAAACTTTCAAGTTGACAGTATAACAACAGTTTTAAACTTCCCAAAATCCCAACTCATACCTTCAAATACCCAAAAATCCCCAACATTTGCACTTTTCAAAGATGATTGGGGGGGAGGCTCCCCCCCTACCCTCCCTTGGGTGACGCCCCTGCTTACAAGTGCATGTTCTTACTTGTTACATGTTGCTGTGTTCTTTTTTAATAAAACTTGGCTTCAGCCGGTCCACCTACATTTCATATCTACCATTGTAGCTAATCCAATGCTTTCATGATTAAACAGGTTAACATAGATAAAAGTATTTTCATCAACTTAAGATTGAAATTGGATATTTCTATATTCTGATTTCAAATGTAAAAATATACCATAACTTGTTCATTTATAGTGTAAACTGATCGATTTGGTTTACTCTGTCCTTGCTAGATAAAAATACAATCCATAGCTGAAAAATAGTACCTTTTCTGTTCGTGGTTTGTTATTTAACTAATTTAAACTTTTTTGTTTGTCATTCTTAAACTTTTGATGTTCATCAGTTATGCTAACATTGATCTATTACATATATGAAATGGGAAGTGATTAAAGTGATTCAGACTATGGATATTTGTTACTAGGATTATTAAAAAACTTAAGTTTTCATGAGGTTTCAGGGTATGTAATCTGGTTCCGTCCCCAGGTCAAAAACATAACATTATTAGTAAATAAAACCAGTCAAATCTGGAAAATAAAGAAAAACCCTACACAGAGAACTGTAGAGTTGGTAGTCAAAATAATGACCAGTGGATGGGGATGATTTAAAATTTTCCAGCTGTGTGTATAGTTAATATGTGTTTACAAATACCTCGTACAAAAACAACTAGAGTGGAGATGTGCGTTTCCCTCTTCAGTAGTTGGGCATAACACATAACCTACATTAAAGGTTTAATTTTATTTGTACGTGTTAGGTTTTTAATTTATGTGTTGCTTAACGAAATCATCAACAAAGATACTAATATGGATTTTATTTATTTCCTGGTTTGGAGTGGTTGAAAATGGTGTTAACCATTTGTAAATTCAAATAATATATTTTGTTGTACACTAAATACTTATATTTGTAAGTTTCTTTTTAAGTATTGAAGCAATGATGCATTATTAATTTATAATTCAAAGCATAGTTCAAAATTAAAATGCCTGGCTGTAGAAGTGGCTGTATGAAACAAAAGGAAGTGACAGATGGGTAGAAACGCTAAGTCTGAAATAAGCTTAAACTTAAGCGGATCTTAGTCACTCTGCAAGTAACGACCGTTCAGTGTCATTTCATTTCTGTTCCATATTTTAGCCAGTATACTCCCATATTATACATAAGCTAAAACTAATTTGATATGGGTTATTTATTAGTTATAAAATATTAAAATCATGCAATATTTTTATTTTATTTTAGTGTTTAAGTTATTTTTACATATTTAGCTTATTAATTTAAGAATTGTGACTATAATTTAAAATACCATTTTTTATTTAATGTCCACTTTTAATTTTTATATCACTTTATATTTATACTACAGTAGAGTCCCGCAAACTCGGCGTAATGTGGACTGGAAGGGTGCCGAGTTTGTGAAATGCCGGGTTATCAGGAATTACGGTTAAAAATAAGAACAATAAAATCTTTAAGCTTTTTAACCGCCTTTTTTATTTATATTTATATTACAAGTTAGTATTAAGTCATCAGATATAGTACAACAAATCCTTGGTATGAGTTACTAATGATTTGACTTGAGCTGGCTTGAGTCCATGTTTAACTCGGACTCAAAAAATCACTAATTTTCTGAGCCAGGTGATGGCCGAGTTATCCAGACTGCCGGGTTATCGAGTGCCGAGTTTGCGGGACTCTACTGTACTTTTATATTCCGGGTGTCCCGGAACTCTCTGGAACATTTAATAAAAATTTGTTCCTTAGATTGAGAAAAATATATTTCACAATAGAAAAATGGTTTTCCAGTGACTAGTTTTCCCATCTGTCGCTCTGTCTTTGTTTTATAACAAATTATTTAATAATGCAAAATTTATTTAAGATAGAAACATCCACTTTAATATAAGTGTGCACCCTAATAGGTAGAATAATTGTATGCAACTTTGTTTCAGTCACTAGATCGATTTCAAAATTACGGCTTTTTAAAATTTGTAATTTCAAATTCCATTAAAACCATCATAGCTAAAAAAACATTAGCGTCATTGGTAAAAATTGCCATAATACCGCAATACATACCGATTAAATTGTTTTACAGCATATATGAGATGCTGCTTATTAGTAATCAGCTGTTTTCTGTCAACTTTATGTTAAACATCAGCTGTTTATTAGTATACATTGTCAATATCTATCATGTGTTATTGTTTGCAGACGGTGGCGAGGCTGGAGCCCAAGTTTCTCGCACTGCACTGTCAGGAGGTGGGGGGCAAGAACTACGAGCAGAGTATGAAGCACGTCGAGTACTTTGTCAGGTGCGCCACACAAGTATGTGTTGTGTGTTGTTTCCGTGTGGTAGCATGACTGTTCTATCGGTATGGTTGATTTTAATATTGGTATCCCACTTTAATTGACAAGAATGTCCGTTCGGACAACCATATATGAAAGTTAGTTTGATTGGCTTTAAGTATATCAATTGTATCAATGTGTTTGTCAATATTTTCTCATGTCCTTCCTTCACACTTTCTTGGGCATGAGACTCTAACTGGGTAACATTTCACCTCAAACTGATCCAATTTATATAAGATTGTTTGATCATTTATGTGAAAATACTTACAATTTAGCCTAGCATTTATACAAAATTGCATAGGAAAAAAATCACTTAAAAACACAAAAGATAAATAAGTTTGTTGTAAAATCTTAGCTTACAGTACTTGGTTTAAGCCTTAAGGTACTCTTCTAACAAAAAAAAGTATTGAAAGACTATAGAAAAATGCATGTTATGAATCAATCCCGCCTCAATGTAAGATTTTCAATGAAGTCCAAGTTTTTTTTAGCTATTAGGAATATCTTTCATTCATGTGTTCATTCAAGTTATAGATTTTCGAAATTGACTTTTGAATTAATGGTTAATTCATGGTTTTGGAATTGGATGTTCCTTGCATGTCACAGAAAATTCACTCAGCAACAGGCCACTAATAAGAAGGGAAGCTTGGGATTAAAATTTCAGTTTGGGAAAGAACGGGAATGGTTTTCTTCTTAACTTTCAAAATTATAATTTGTTTAGTAGGGTATTAAGTTTATGAAGCTTTTGGGTTTGTAAAACACCCAAATTGATTTATAAATTAGGTAGGTATTTAACAGGCCATTATTAACAATAAAAACCTTCAAAACACTTAAATAGCAAGTAATTATAATAAATGTAGCATAAGCATACAACTTTCTCAGTAAATACAAATTAAATCGCTTAAAAATAAATTTACAATATTTGAGCTCCAGTAAAATTGTACTAACTAAAGCATTATAAAACATTTTATTTTATTTTAACTTCTTAAATGCAGATTGAAATGCTACAGATGTTTTGTAAAATATTGCTTTAAATATTTTCCATAAATAAAATTATTAATCCACCTTTTTAAAAAGGATAAGAATTGTAAAAACCTTTAAAGATTCGACCAGTGAAGAGTTGTAATTATTGACGTCCATTTTAAGAGAAGTGTCCGGGCTGAGGTGGTGAGGTGAATTGAAGGTATTTTCTGCTGAAAGCGTCCCTTTATCCTCTAGATATGAGTGATTACCTCCAGGTTTTTCCAACTCAGAGATTTTTATCTTACAACTCCTACCTTTACTCTTAAGTATATTTTTTTTAAACTAAAATTCTGTTTAGTTTAGGGGTTTTATTAGATATTTGTGATATGCAATTTAATTTTTTGATTTTTGTTTATACAATATTACAACAATTGCAAACCTTCAAATAAACAATTTGGAACATGTAGCAAGAGGACAAATAAATTTGAAACTTAGTCTCAAAACGTTTACAGAAACTTTTGTAAAATTCAATCTAAGAAAACCATGTTTACTACACCATAAATATTTTAAACTCATTATATTTCAAATATGGAAAGTTTACTGTAGATAATTTTATTTAACTTTGGGTAGTACACAATTTGAAAGTAAAAAAAAGGCTGTTCAAAAAGCTAATAATAAGTAAATAACCTACTGTTACAGTTTAGTATAGTTTTTATTATCTTTTTAATTCAGTAGGATAAACCTAAGGTTGGCAATTGTTGTTAATCGCAAACTTAAATTTTCAGTAGTACAATAAAGCACAGTTTGTTTCAAATAAATTGTGGTATTGGTATTGTAAGGTAAAAATAAAATAAAATTTAAAAAACAGCACAATAAGGTTAATATTGTGGTCAAACTTCAAAATTGGATGACTTAAGTTTAGATGTTTATTGTTTACTTTTTATCTAAAACATTCAAAGACTCTGGTTGGCCGCTGAGTAGATTTAGTAAGAGAGTTGTGCTATTTAAAATCCATTTAAATCTTCTTCAACAAGAAATAAATTGACTGGTTAATGCAAATAAACTAATCTCACATTAGTTCTCAATGTAATTTCCTGGTTGTAGAAAACGTTTTTTTGTCATACTGGAGCAAAAACTGCCGTTTTAATGCATGTGTTGCAGCTCTAAAGTAGAATTTTTACCCTCAATGGAGTAAAAAGACGTTTTTAGCCTCTAGGGAGTAAAAATCGGCTGTTGTGGACTCAGTTGTAAATTTTGATTGTAAACAATCGCATGTATAAAATTATGTATTGATTGTATAACCGTATTGTAGCTTATTGTTGCCTAATTGTAAATAGTTTGACATATCGAACCGATAGTATAATGTACACTAACACAATCGTAATAGACTAGACTAAACAATGAATCACTTACTAAACAGCTGCTTGTTTGCATTGGCAAACTAAATTGAAAAGAAATTTGAAGAAGTTTCTATTGGTTATCTTTAAATGAAAATTATAAAAAGTTAAAATTATATAAGTTTGTCACGCTTTACCCGTGTAAAAAGTGTCTTTTCAATCCTAGTTCATTTTCCGACCTCAGCTTTGTCTCAATCGTAAAACATGAGCTTGGATCGAAAAGAGTCACTTTATGCTCAAGTGATGAAATATACTATTATTTTTGTAGGTATGATAAAAAAGTGCAGCTTTGATATTTTATAGTGATGTTTTTTTAAGATTGTTATTATGTACTATTAAAAAAACATTTATCTGTTTATTTTGAAGAATCTTGAAACTTGTTATGTTTGAGTTTTACAGTTTAAGAAAGCCAAATTGAGACTATTATGAGTTTCTGTCCATCTGTTTGCCTGTTCTCAAAATGACAATTTATGCTGCTTACTCAAGGAAAACTAGAACACCGGCATATTATTTTCATCAAATATAACAATGAACTTACAAAATTTCACTTTTGCACTATATGAAACACATTCTTTCCCAAGTTTTATTAAGTTATTTATAAAATACCAGTCAGCTGTTTAAAGAATGATTCAATGTCAAACAAATTGACACTGAAATGTTTACTATGTGACACCAAAAGAAAAACCATAATGTTTTCATTTTATTTATTTATTTACAGTTAGATAAGCTATTAATTTTATTCTGCCACACACAGCTGATTGAAATTAACCGATGTTATTTTAATAGAACAACTATGAGCATATTACACACTACCAATGAATACAAACCCCTTAAGAAGCGCAATGCCTTTGTTAAAAATTCAGTCTGGAACTATTTGAATTTCGGATAGATCCCGTGGCGGCCACTAGGTAGACTATCACGAGCATGCCGACAAGTCAACCGACCGTGTGAGAGAGAGTAAGATAGAGTAGTTCGGCTGCAGCGGCCGCCACACGAAGCTTATTTCGGCGGCAAAATTCCAGTCAGACTATTCTCCATTAGCATTTTGCTTTTTTAAGGGTTTGTATTCATTGGTACTACCGTGGTCTTCAGCATAAAAACCATTTCACATCACTAACCATAACGGTGCACTAATGTTGTTTGTCGCTACTACTGTACTTCTCTCAAGAAGGCCATCCGCAACAAGGCCAAAACATTACAAGCACACCATGTTACAAAATGTGAATAGGTTCTACTCTGAAAAACCCCGACAGTGTTATTTTGTGTGATCGTGGAATTCTTACGTAACCTATAATAAAAATGTACCAGGGATCAGGCATACCCACATCTTACTGTTGAATTTGTGTATTTTACATATTGTATATATTTTGTACAATGTATTGTATTTGATGCAGACTGCTGATGACCAGCGAGGAATTGAGGTTATTTGACAGAGTCAGAGTCTACCTAGACGAGGACTACTCATCAGCCGAGAACTTTACTGTAAGTCTTTGATTTGATATCATTAACTCTTGGAGTGTTAAAGGCCAATTGGTCATTATGAGTATATATAAAAAGTCTGTACATGCAACTATTTATTGTAGTCTATCACCCAACAAATGGCTGAACACTTATATCATGTGCTGCAATCTGGAAGTCAAGCTTTAAACAGAAGGTTTGCGCTGTTTGTCGACCAGTGTTGTTAGTGATGTTGTTTGTTTAAGGACTCGGCAGTTTAAGGCACTGTTACCCTGGCCAGGAGACATCTTTGGTTGAGGATAAAAATTCTGTCTTTGTCAAGTTCTGTGGCAGAGCTTGTTAGGAAAGACAAGTGTAAAAAATGGTGAACAACTTAGATGAAAGATTGAGTGGTTTGTTTGTAAGTTGTACCTTGAATCAAGCATTTTAATATTTACCGATCTTTAACTGGGCTGTGTGCTCATGAAAAACGTTTTTTATAAGGGTACTTTTTAAATGAAGAAAACATGAAAAAGATGCAATGTTAAATCCTCTGTCACTAAGCGGTTGATTAATGTATAGTTATTCTGATATAATTACACCATAGCGGAATTTGTTCAGTTGCTAAATGTCCTCTAAAAGTTTGAACATTCAAAAATGTGATTACCTTAGGATTTGTTTGCATTTTCATACAGTAGATCACCACTCATTTTGATACACATTAAGAATATGCTTCTAAATCAATAAAGTTTGGCTTTTTAAATAAATTTTATCCATAACATTCTATATTCTAAATAAAATCTTAATTAATACACATAGCAACAACTATAGGTATAGCCATTGACTATTGTTTAATAGTCAAAGGTATAGCATAAAACTAAAAGTGAATGTGGAAAATTATATTTGGAAAAAGATTTGTGAAGTTTTCACAAAATCCAGCAACAAATTGGATTTGTCGGACGGTGTTATATTCCGGCCAGGAGCAACGCTAGTCAAGGCACGTTTGCCTTCCTCATGCTTACTTATATGGGGGGAGAAAAAAATGCTGGTCCTGCACCGAATATCAATGGCTTCCAGTAAATCTTTGTTTTCTCAAAAGCAGATTCCTCCTCACTCTATGGTGGAAAGAATGATCTAAACCCATAATTTTAAATTTTCATACAACTACAGTATGGTTATAAAAGTCAGCCAATAAAACTCATGTTCTTTTCATTACATTTATTTAGAAACCAATAAACCAGCTGATCAATGTTAATATTAAATTATAATGAATCATTGCTATATGGATACTAAATTTTCATTCAGCTTACTATATATAACATACTATAATAAGAAAACTATTTAACATTTCTCCCAGGGGGGTTTCTCAGGTCATCAGCTTCACCAGTTTGGTTACAGGTCTCCTCCAGACTCCGGTGGCTGTTCGAACGTCCGCTACTAACATTTATTTTTTCATAATAATCTTTTTACTGTCTGTTTGTTATAGGCACTTGGAAACTTCTATTTCATCCACGAGTCTGTACCTGATGTCCTTATTTGGGATTTTAAAGGTCAGTGGCTTCAAATGTATTTAAAAGGCTACCTCATGGTTTTTTGAGTTTATTTAGTAATTGCTTGGAAACTGACTCCATTCTACTCTCATCCTTCACTCATACCATATACAAAAAGAATTAAATATAGACTGTCAGCTGTGCTGCGGTTACCATAGGTTCTGGCGCACACCCCAGGGAGTGCATGTAGTTACGGCCTACGTGCTACATAACTACACGGCGCTCCCAGCGGTGTGCCCCAGAACCTGTGGTAACCATGGTAATCACAGAACGGATGTCAGTCTATTTATTTCTTTTTGTCTATGCTCATACTTAGGTGGAAATAAGCAGCACTGTGCCCATGTCTCATTGTAATTATATACTCTGTATATAAACATGGGAGTAAGCTGGTCTAGTTGTAGAGTGCAGGGCTTTGGTGCCAGAGGTCCCGGGTTCAAATAACACCGGATTTTATCTATGTGATAATGCCACAACCCTCGTAGGACTAGAAGTAATTTATAGCCTAAAAGAATGTGTACAACAGATCTGAGATAGAACTATCTTCCTAGGATGTGAAGACAAGACATCAAAAAACAAAAACAAAAACAAAAACATACACATATACAAACTAGAATGTGGAGTTTTAACTTTCATTTAGGGATTTATAAAGGTCTCATACAAAAACAATATAATTTAACCATACTACTTTTTTACATCAAACAAAAAGTACTAAACACTGTTGTACACTGGTTTAAAATAAAAACTTAAATGTGAGGTTAAAATAAAAATAATTTCTTTGTTTATTTACCAAATGAAAAGTATTTATGCTAATAAAAAATAACATCATTTCAGTTAGATTAAAAACCACAATCAAATTTATTGAACTTATCTAAATGCAACATAAAAAAATAAGGGAATAAAACCTGTGGATGAATCCTGTAATGATTTAAAAACTTTTAAACGTAATTCTCTAATATAATTTCTGTATTTAAAATATTTAACTGCAAAAGTTTTATGTTTAAATAAGAATTATCACCTCAGAGTGTAAAACATGACAGGGTAAAACCTCTAGAGGCCTTAGAAAACCAAGTAATCCCTGTCCAAACTCCCCCACACATTTATTTGGGAAGCTAGCCAACCTTCTGTTGAGTTGTAGATTCATGCCCTCACATATCAATATATTACAACTCTGGTGTGGATTTAAATTATTGTGTTAAACAGGGATCAATCGGTAAATCAAATATATATTAAATAAAATCATTTTCAGTTCATTTGACTATTCTGTTAATTGTGAGGGGAAGTGTAGAGATTTTATAGAGCCAAATAAGTTTATATTGTTTTGATGGTTTATATTCCCTATTTGTCAGTATGTAATGTATGCATTTTTCGTTTGTATGTTCATTATTCGTATTTATTCATAAAATACTCATATAATCTTTAAAGCAGTAAAGAGTACTGTTGTGTTGAGAGGGAATGCAGATTGCAACATTGTCTTTTTTCTTAAATGAAAAAATAAATAAAAGGTCCATAATATCGTTAGTTGTGGAGTTTTGTTATTAAATATAGTAAAAGATAACAAAAACTTGTAGGTGTTTGTTTACTTTTTGAACTCCTGATAACCTGATATGATAAATATTAAATTGTTATGCAAATTCATTCTAATGTTGTCACTAATTATTGCTCTCCAGTCTCCATACATCCATTCTTTTTTCAGCAACAATTTCATTTTTATTGTGGAGACTCTGATTCTTTTATTAAGATGAGCCGAATTTTAAAATGTTCACTATGTTTCTCACTCGAACCAAGAAGAATCTAACAAAAACAGAGGGTCAAGTTTAGGCTTTATAGATAAAGTTCATACTACAAGGGCTATTCAGAAAGTAAGAAGCATTATTTTTTTAAATAAAGAGGTCGTCCTCTATTACCTTGCATTTGCCCGTCCACATGGGCCACAGAGGACTTTGCGTTGAAGGTATCCAGCAAGAGGTGTACCAGCACAGTACAACAGTGAACTGTACTTATAAAAAGTAGTGGCAGGTACCAGGTTTCGAACCCACAACATCATTGGCTTGGGCTCTAAGTCCAGGGCGCTACCAACTGATCCACCGACTCACTTAAATATACTTTAAAACTGGATTCTCCCTATCTGAACAGAACTTTCATTCATTACTTTTTTTCCGTACAATTCACACGCTCAACGATAAATTTCTATAGGTTTTAAGTTGTTTGCCATAAAACCGTACTACAGACTGAACTCACAACTTGGAGGATTTTCAATTGTAGCACACATTTTAAACTGAATACTGCAACAATGGGCAGCAAACAACAACACTTCCAATGTGGCACGGAGGCGAACAAGTCTGTTCTTGAAAGTGTGCAAGCAGGGTGGTATCAAGTCCTTACATGTAAGACAGAAACGTTCCTTATTTTCTGAATAGTCCTTGTACGAGTATATGACCAACTCTGCCAATCCTTCTGCCTCCCAGGCTAGACCCAGTGTTTATTGAAAGTACCCTCTTCCTATTGAAAGTAATATTACTGAGGAGGAGTATTATTATATTTAATGCCTGCTGCAGTATGATGAAATTAGCTTTCTCTTAATATGAAAACATGGCTTGTTAAAAAAAAAATAAAAAAATAAAAAAACAACCTGAAAATTACAACAGGGTAAGGGGATATATATTGTATAATTATATTTTCAAGGAATAAAATTATCAATTTGAGCTATTTAAAACAAACAAACACAGATATTTTAACGAATTATCAAAGCCGTTTAGGCTTGATGAAGGATTTCTAATATGAAATTTTGGTTTTATTCATAACATTCATTTTAAAACATTATGATTATTTTTTGAAACACTGTATTCATACTTTCAGCCCATATTTGTGTACTTTAATGAGACAAAAAACTTGTGTTCATTGTTCAGAACTGAATTTTGTTGCTGTGGAAGGGAAAGACGTCCACTCTGGAAACATCGAAGATGTCCAAACCAAAGAAAAATCCAAATTCCCTCAAGACTTTTTCCCAGAGGTAAAGTTATTCTTTCATAGCTGATTTTAAAACCTGTCTAAAACTAAAGGATTGCAATCTCTTTTTTATTAACACATTTATTGTCAGTTTTGTATGTGTAAGAATTTAGTTCTTTAGACACCAATGAAGAAATCTTGTATTCATTTTGGTCTTTTGGGAAAGTTTGTCCTCAAATTTTCTTTTAATTCTTCAGATTCTTCAAATTTTTAAAATTTAAATATGATGGATGAAAATGGAATAAAAGAACGACTGAAACACAAAAAATACTTTTTGTTCATAAAAAATAGTTTTTTTTACCTTTTTCTTACACAAACTATTTAATTAATCATGTAAGTTTTAATATAAGCTATCAGACAGGCTTTAAGTAATGATTTTTGTGATTCCAGTGTAAGTGGTCTCGGAAAGGTTTTTTACGGACGAGATGGAATCTTAACGGAACCATTTTTGACCTAGTCAACATCCATCTCTTCCATGATGCCTCCAACTTTGTCGCCATGGAAACAGTAAGTGATATACACTTCATTGTTATCTCACTCAACAATAGAGCATGAACCATACACTGTTTATGGAGTGTGGCCTGTTAATGCTTTTTTGAGTAGACTGTATTTTGATGAGAACATCAACTTTGACTTGGTTACAATGGTTGTGATGTCTTTTGCTGCTTATTTAACCATGTAATAGCTATTTACCTTACAAGTGTAGTAAGAGCGTTTTTACATCACGCAGGTGAATGTTGTGCAACGAGCGGAAGCGAGTTGCATAATTTACCTAAGTGATGTAAACACGCTCTTGCGTAACGTGTAACGTACAAGATTTTACCTGACCCGACAATATACAGGAGGTTACAAACAATATTTTTCACTATCCATTTCACTCATCTTCTAACTGTAACGTTCATTTACAAACAAAAGCTAGGTTTGGAAAATTCTTCAAAACATAACAATAAAATTCAAGCGCACAGCTGATTTCTAGCGTTGAACGTCGTTGGCTCCATAGAGGTATATTTTTTAAGTTATGCACTCAATGTTATTTAAATGGGTTTCATTACCTCACCGAGTGAGTTTTTTTCAACTTTACATCACTCGAGAAGTTGTATACATCACGCTTGGGATAGGGAAGTTTAACATGGCGGGTTAGGTAAACAATATTACCTCACTGCTCCAACACAAAACAATGTTCTCATTGTCAGAAAATCTCGAAAACAAGTCTTTTGTGTCTATACATGCAGCGATGTCCAAAATTGAAGTTCATAAAGCAAACAATTTAACAATGAATTAAAAGTTAGTCCAAAAATTTGTAGTTCAACATATAGAGTTGTCCAAAGAAAATTTACCATTCTTTTTTAAATGGTATTAGCAGACAACATGAAATTTAAAATAGCACATTCTGTAGATCTAAGTTGAAGGATGCATTGTATACAATTTGTGGATTAACTGGGTTTTACCTGGCAACCTGAATTTCAATTCAAGATGGCAGATTATATGGATTGAAATATAGTTCGGGATTGAACATGCCTCTATTGTGCAAGCTCTCAACATTCTAAAACTAATTTTGTTTCCAATGAGTGTGTGCTTTTGGTGCTCTTGACATATCAAAGCTTGCAATGGGTGGGGAAAAATTAATTTTTAACTATTATTTAGAAGTTAACATCACATGTAAAAAAGACTAATTTACGGATTTTCAAAGTGATTTTGTGAAAAACAATTACGAGTTTTCGTTTCATACAGTTCATGGTTTAGATCTTTGTAAAGAATATTTTACAGTTTATTTCAACCTGATGAAGACTTAAATAATGCCACAAGGTTCATTTTTATAGGACCATGTTTATGCGGTAACCAGCCGGCGGGTGGAACCCTCTTATGCTCTTATTTGTTTTCAAATTTTGAATTAAACAACACAAACTGCTTAGTATGTAAAAAAAGCTTTTCAATTACAAATTTGCATTCCATTTACATGTCTAATGTATCCGATAACACTAAATTCCCAAATTAAAAAGTTCAAAACGGTTTTCTATCAAAACATTCCTAAGTTCTTGTTGCCTAAAAATGTTGATGATAGCATATCAGCTGCCACATGTTATTTCAATATTATAATTGTTTGATCAATTTCTGTTTCACTTTGGGGTTTTTTTGTTTTCAGTTTCCGTCCGTCTATTCCAAGACCAGACAACGAGCGCTAGAATATACGCTAGACAGGTATACCTCTATAATTACTATAATTAATTATCAACCTAGATGATTGATATGTTATGTTCAGCTAGATCGATTAACCTGCATAAAAAAATTTAAAAAAATTGTTCTTTAGATAAAAAAAATTTAAAAAGTCATATTTTTTATTTGTAAGTAAAAATGTAAGAGTGAATTGTATGTCACACCGTGCTTAAGACATAGTTGTGTCATTCTACGTTTTTATTCTCAACTTTAAAAATATTGTTACATCACAGTATCTAAACAAACTATGGGCCTGTACAATTTTTCCAAAGTAGAGGCTTGGGAAAGATACAAAAGATTTCTTTATTAGAAATTGAATGTATACACATCCTTTTGAAAACGGTTCTTTAAATGAAAACAGTAAAAAGGGTCATATTTATTATTATTTGTATGTAAAAATATAAGAGTGAATTGTATGTCACACCACGTCATTTCCATAGGTCATTTTAATAACACGTACAATGCTGATCAAGAAGTTATTAAACATACTAGACCTATATGTCAAAATAGAATCTCCTGTAATGTAAAAATCCTGTAAAAATCTCCTGTAATCTCATATAATGCAAAATCTAATACAGTGATGTTTTCTGTTGAAAACTTAGTAGTTAAAAAATTTATGCTCAAATGACTAGTGACTAATAATAGACTGAGACAACATCTTTGATTAGCAAAATAACTTTTCAAACTACTTTTATCAATATTGAATCTGAGATTCAAAATGAAACAAACAAAAAACAAGGTTTAATAGTTTGAAAAAAAAAGCAAGAGGTTTAATGGGGGTGGTAAAATTGATACAAAATCAGTTTGTTTGAAAACATATTAGCTATAGACAGTTCTTTTTATTGATTCAAAGAGTAAATAAATCGACAATTTGTCTGGTTAAAATCAAATAATAATCAAGTTTATTCTAGGTAAAGTCTTCATTATGATTGCTAAGTTAAAGCCAATATCTATATTATGCTTTAATTCACCGTCTAGTGTATGACTAAACTATTGTCCTATTTTCTTGTAGGTTTCACACAGACCAATATGGATCTGCTCCGTTCTTCTTGTTTGGAGATTTCAACTTTAGAACAGACATGAAAGGTGTTATAAAGGTAATTATATTCATATGGTATTACATATTTTATACTAACTAATATCTATGGCCTGGGGAGCGAGCTGGTCTAGTGGTAGAGCGTGGGGCTTCATTGCCCGAGGTTCCTAGTTCAAATACCACCAATCGCCAATGGATTTTATCCATGTGATAATGTCGCAACCCTCTTGGACTAGCCTGAAGCAATGTGCAAAACAGTTCCGGGCTAGAACTAGCATCCTAAGATGTGAAGGTGGGACAAAAAATAAAATAAATAAATGTCTGTGGCCTGTGGTGACCTGTGTCAGTTCTTTAAATCTAACCTAATAACTAGAAAAATTTACAGTGATATAAATGCTGTAATTTAAAAAGTTCTCTAGTAAGGTTAGCTAGGTCATCAGGGTTGTAGAGTTGAGCTAAGCAATCTACTAATGTAGGTGAAGGGTGATTGTCTACTTCATCCTCATACGAAATACGCACCCAGGTGTGTCCTTGACATCTATATTATTATTATTTTTAATTGTTGGATTTTTTTATTCAGCAAATAGACCCCTAAATATTTATTTCATAGGCATATTGGGTATCAATGTAAAGCTATTATTCTTTAGATGTGCCTTTTGCGGAATTGGATGATATCCCATAGAAGCCCTTTGTCCTATAGGCTTTTAAAATTTCAGAGTTTGTGCTCAATTCTGTTGTCAATCATCTGAACTTTTTCCAGATTACATTTGTTTACATCAAAACACATTGCATTGATAAAATTTTGTTTACATCCATGTGAAAATGCAGTTATCATTACAGTTAGTGATGTTTTAGTGTATTCAAGTTAAATATTGTAATGTTAATTGTATAAAATGTAAAGAAGAAAATGACTTAGATTTTGTGTTTTGATAGGATGTGCAATATAAAATTGTTAATTCAAATAAATCACGGACTTTGAAGTCACGAAGTGACGCTGGCTGCTAGGCTAAATTAATATATTCTTTCAATATTTATGGCCAAGAATTACTACCTACCTATGAGTGAAGGGGTGATATTTTGCCAGTATTCTCAGAAAACTCGCGACTATATGTGCGCTTTGAAAGGCAATAGGCAATTATCAACTTTTTCAGTTTTTTACGTTTAACCAACAGAATTTATTTCTCTAGTGACATACAAATGCTCCTGAACTAGTTAACTATTTGCTATACACTACAGTATCATATTTGTATGTTGTTAATAATAATTCCAATTTTCATTTAATGGTACATTATTGATCAGATCGTGCATTATTCAGGTTTGGATTGATTTGATTTCAATGTTCCTAAAAGTATTATCTTTTACAGAAACTCGCCAATGGATTGAACCCTGTTGAAGTCAATAGTACAAAAAATAACGAAATCAACAAACTTTTATTCAGGGATGAAGAACAGGTAAGTGCACTTAAGTAGTTTTAAAACTAGAGATTAAAATGTAATATTGGAAGAATTCAGAGTTCTGGTAATAATTATGCTTGTGCTAAAACACCTATTTTCATTTGAAGATATATAGCCTATGGATCGTAATTGAACATTGTTAAAATCTAAGGCTTACCTTATGATCCAATTTGTTTCATAGTGGAGACCTAGGTTTCTACGTCGAAACCTCAAGTAAGAGATGAAAAACTAGAAGTTTAGCTAACCTATGAGACAAAGGACTGGCGATAATGTATCCAAGTAGAAACCTAGGTCTCCACTATAAAACAAATTGGATCATAAGGTAAGCCTTAGATTTTAACAAAGCTATTTTCAATATACAGGGTGTCCCGGAACTCTCTACCAATATTTTAGGGCATAGCTCCTGTGTAAGAAACATAACTAAATATCATATTTAAACTGTCCGGAAGTCCTTAGTTACTCACACAGCCGCCATTTTGTTTTTTTCAGTTATTAATTTTTTTTCTAAAGAATGGTTAAACATACGAATTGGAAACTTTGCACAAACATTTATGACAACTAGACAAAGCTACCAAAAAATTATCACGATTTTTCCAATTCATAAAACAAAAAGGCGGCCATTTAAAATTTTTGTAAAATCAATGGTTTTTGAGTTATTTACGAAAGAAAATTTTAAATGGCCGCCATTTTGTTTTATGAATTTGAAAAATCTTCATAATTTTTTTGTAGCTTTGTCTAGTTGGCATAAATGTTTGTGCAAAGTTTCCATTTCGTATCTTTAACCATTCCTTAGAAAAAAATTAATAACTGAAAAAAACAAAATGGCGGCTGTGTGAGTAACAAAGGACTTTCGGACAATTTAAATATGATATTTAGGTACGTTTCATACCCAGGATCAATGCCCTAAAATATTGGTAGAGAGTTCCGGGACACCCTGTATAATTGATGTACTAATGGCCAATCTGTATGGATTTTGCCACATAACATTCAGCAATTAACTAATAAATTGCGCATACAGTGGAACCCCTCATATCTCATCACCACGGGACCGAGCCCCTAGCCAAAACAATTTGGGTAAACCAATCTATTTTAAAAACTGAAAGTTAAGTCTTTTTTTAAGTATTTTTTCAGAAAAACACTTTTTAACGTAGTACTTCCTTCTAATAAAACTAGGCATTTCCTAGTCAGTCTAGCTCCGCTTGCGCTTGTAAACTTTATCGTGTGCTCTTTTTAAGACAAGAAAAATGGAAAGTCAAGACATAAATTCAAAATTGTATTTTAATATTTAATTCAGCATCCTGATAATTATAGTTACTACTTTTTTTATTTCAGGTTATTTTAACACTAGGAAAAAAGGAATTCAGCCACTACGATCATCAAAATTTGTTCATAAAAAATGCAGGAGAATGGGTAAGTGTAAACAAAAATTAAATTTTTGATTGGTATTCTTATTATTGTGTCAAAGGCCAAGCTTACAGAAAAAAAATTATTATTTTTAAATTTTACTCATACAATGTCTGTCTAATAGTTGGAAAAAAAGTTTGTCCAGGACATGTTACTGTGCAAACACCATAATCTGTTTTGAGAACTTGTGAAGATGTTCAGTTAACATAAATGGGCTTTAACTGAGCAACCTCACAAGTATATAAGGTTGACAATGTTGTTCTACCACCAAAACATTTCCTGAATATATTTTTTGCTGTCTGACAGAAATTGCATAAATAATTTAGTCTTACATTAACTATTATTATAAAGTTTTGGTGTTTCTTGTACCAATATGAACCCTTACCTATTCAGGAACATCTGCTACTCTAAGATCAATGACAAATTTATGTTAGCTAAAACCTTGAAAAGTCATGTAGGGGTTAGCATTAGTGTTTTTTAACCACTTGCCTTTGAGTGAGGCACCGTTGGCAATCAAATTCTGACACCGGTTGGTTATGTTAGTTTAAAAACAGCGAGTACATGATCTGATAGCTAATGTTCCATGTTATGCTATTCCACGAAATATGGCTTAAATAATATTTTGAAACATGTTTCAATTTGTGTCATTATTGTAGATATACTTAGTTTTAAGTAAGAGGTTAAGAATATAACATGGAGCACAAGGGCCTAGGATGTAGGATATTTTGTGAGGATAGCAGGCTTACCTGAAATAGGAAAGAGTCCAAACTGGCACAAGAGTGCCTGACTAGACTAAACCTTGTCAATATTAGTTGTTGAAGTTAGTTGGTTTTTTGTGCACTTAATTGTGATGGGTTCCCTGACCAATTAATTCTTTATTCAATCCTTAAAAACCTTACCCTTGTGCATCATATTATGTAATAACCTCAAAACAGCAATATTGTATTACATTTTTCTTTTCCAGCTGAAGGAGTTTGACAATGAGTTGGGTTGTTTTGCTGGTCAGCTGTTTGAGTTTCCGATCCAGTTTCCGCCCAGTTACCCATATGAGGAGGACACCCACAGTGGACGACAGTACATGCAGACTCGATGTCCGTCGTGGTGCGACCGCGTCGTCCTCTCCGAGACTGCCAAGCTACTTGTCCATCAGGTAGAGATTTAAATAAAACGTAAAGTTAAAGAAACCCAATTTATTTTCAAATTGCTATTAGTGTCATTCATTCTACAAAATAATTAATCATTTAAAATGTTATTCAAACACTTTTTGTGTATTTTATTTAAGCTGATAGGTATTGAGCAAGGAACAAGTGAATAATGGATTTAAATGCCTTCAGCCAGAGCATTCCCCCCTACAGTATTAAAAAATTCCACGCTTACACTACAACAATAGTTTTTAAACTAAAGAAGCGTCCTTAATTTTATAGTTAATAGGCAATAGGCAAACATCTTTATAAGTGACTAGCTGAACCCGGCAGACGTTGTCTTGCCTTTGACTATTTATAATCCCGCGGGCTTTGCCCCGTTTAACTTCTTAATTTTCAAGATGATCTCGTTCGCATGGCTCAATCACGTCCTGGTTGAAGTTCGTTCACTCACCTTTAGGTTGGAGCTCGTTCGCTACGCTCACTCATCTTTAGGTTGGAGCTCGTTCGCTGCGCTCACTTGCCTTCAGGTTAGCTCGTTCGCTACGCTAACTCGCCTCCAGGTTGAAGTTCGTTCGCTACGCTCACTCACCTTTTGGCTGCAAATTAGCTGTTGTCATAAATGTAAAAGAAATAATAGTGCTGCACCCTGTTGGTAATCCTTGTAACTTTAATGCTATTGAACATCATAGAACAGAACTAACTTGTTTAATTGAAACAGCTGTTAAGATTCATTAATTCCATTTCTCATAAGGTTAACATGGGAAACTCCAGAGCCACTGGGGCGGAGCCGATTGGGCGGATCACGAAATTGATGGTGTATAAACCTATTACATGACATTCTACACGTATGTACCAAGTTTCGTGGCAATCGGTTCAGCGGTGTCTGAGTTTATCACTGCCAAACAAACAAATATATATACAAACATCCTCTTTTATACTTATAGATTTCTTTAAGAAATACATTAGCTTCATAATACAAAAATTGAAAATTGATTTTGCTTTGCAATGATTATTGAGGTAGTTTATTTTGTTTTCCATCATCTTTCTTAGGTCAAAAAATGCCTTTATTGAGTACAATGGTTGATTTATAAGTCAGTTCCAAAGTTCCTTTTACAGTTTTTATCCTGATAGGTTTATCATGTTTCAAAAGGGAATTTAGAACTTAGCAGCAAATAAATGATGGTTTCTTACTTAGTTGTGTGGTGTGGTGGATATACAACAGTTTAAGAACTGTTTAGTATAAAAAAAACCTGAAAATATTTCACAATAATTATAAGTCAGAGCTAGAACTTGGTTGAGTGATTTGTTTTTCCTCTTACAGATTGACGACGAGAAAAGTATTGAATACGGCTCTATTGGAGAGGAAACTTGTATGGGAGATCATAAGGTAATTACAAATATACTATGAAATATTATATCCTCAGCCACAGGTATACAAGCACCATTATTAAAAATATCTCATAACTAAGTTCTTGTATTTTAAAGTGGATCTCTAAACAATCTATAACAACTAATCTCTGATGATTTCTTCTCACTATGCATTAAATGTGCAATCAATTTGGTCTAGCCCAGTGAACAAATATTTATAGCCTTCTTAGACAAAAGATTCATGACACCCTAAACGTAATAATTTAAAAGACTAAACTATATATAGTCTACAAATATAAGTCTACAAAAAACTTAACAAATATTTAATCTATTATATTGCATGCTTTTTAGACTTTTGTAGCCTTTCTGAAAGTACAAATTCTAAAGTCTTACAACCTTTATTTGGAATAGATAAATCAGTAACCTAATTAAAATAGTTGACAAACAGAATGTATTAAAATATTTAACTTTAAATTGAAAGCATAACCTAAAATATTCTGTGAGTTTTGTAATGAAGAAAATAATTATTCTTTATAGTGTAGCGAAAAGTAACGTTCAAAACACAAATGAAAGTGTTACATATTCTTGACCATTTAAAGTGCTTGATAAAGATGGTCTCAAATATGTATGACTCACTTTCTACTCTTGTTATGAAATATACTATTCCCCCTTAATTATTGATACTTTGATATAATTATATGACATATAAATTTTAAAAGAGATTTCAGCTTGAACATGAGAATGGAATGTCTAGTTCTATTTATTGTAAAAGATAGAACAAATAGTTTTTGTCTTTCTTTTGTCAGGCTCTTTCCCATCCAAGTTAGCCTGCTGCCCCATAAAATCCTTATAACCCATATACTTAAGTAAGTCTTCATCCTAAATGAACACTAAAGCTAAGTCACTTCTATGATTAGGATATAGTTTTGCACAGGCTACTGTGGACCCAAGGATTGGGCCCGTGTCGTAAACCGGGTATCGTTCACCGCAGCGACTGGTCCTTTTCAGTGGAGCAGCAGTAATAAAGAACTAACAGCTGCGCTAGTGAACATTACTTGGCTTAGGCCACGAGCCCAACCTCTGAGTCTGTGGCAGCCTGTCCACGACTATGGTGATCAATGGTTACAAATTTGATAAATACAGTAGACCCTCTCTAATACGGCACTTCGCCACTCGGGCACTCCAGTAATCCGGCGTCTTTTGACGGGTGAGGTCTTCTGCGATCGCGGCAAAATTCCGATTATATCCCGCGGCCGTTTATACATTATCATCACCTCCCGCGGTCACGTAAACGTCGTCGTCTCCTTGTGCCATTGCGGCAAAATCATGAACATCTCCTCCGGCTGTTTAGACATTATTGTTGTCTTCCGTGATTGCAGCAAAAATCTGATTATCTCCCACGGCCGAGAAGGCATCATCATCCACTCCCGCGGCATCGTTGTCTTGCACGATCGCAGCAAAATCATGAACATCTCGGGTCATGTAGACATTAACATTGTCTTCCGCAATCGCATAAAAAAATTGAACATTCCTCGTGGCCACATAGACATTATCATCGCTTCCCGTGGTCACAGAAACGTCATTGTTGTCATGCGCGATCGCGGCAAAATTCTGATCATCACCCGCGGCCGTGTAGACGTTATCATCGCCTCCCGTGGTCATGGAAACGTCATCGTCGTCATGCCTGATCGCGGAAATAGCTGTTTCTGTTCCCGCGATCCTCGGAGACGTGTTTTAAGTGCTAAAATGCACTTGTTGCAGTGTTTTTATTAATAACATTCCAGTAATCCGACATTTTCACTAATCTGGCAGTATCACGGTCCTATATCTGCCAGATTACTGAGAGTCTACTGTATTTATTAATGAAACGGTGTAACGGAGTTTGGTTGACTGGTGGGGTGTTGTGCTTGGCGCATGCAGCCGGTGTACCTGAGTCTTACCCTGACGTCGGGGTGAGTCCAATCATCTCACGCTCACGATCACGATGCACTAGTGATGTTACGAGATTCAGACAATATCATTGTAGAATTCTCAAGTTAATATTGTAAAATCACCACTGTAAGAGGAGAAAAGGATTGATTTAAAAAGTTATTGCCAAATTTATGTATGAGACATTTAAAATAAATATTAAAATGTAAACCATGAAAATACAAAGTAAAGAATGTAGTTTCTGTCAAGTCTAGTAAACAATCAAGCTGCAGTATAATTTATTCTTTTTTTTTAATAAGGACATATTTTGTTTTTATATAATCTCCAGGATTTGTAAAGTTCAAGAAATAGCCTGTGTTGAAAATAGTTTCTGTGTGATTAAACAGTTTAACTTTTTGACGTAATTAAACGGGACACTATATATCATCAAAATACTAACAAATTACAATGGTTGAGATAAAATATTTCACTGTTGTGTGATTTTTCCAAGAACTTTAATGTATACACAGTGTTTGAAACTGTTCAAAATTTTGCTTTGGACATTGCACCACTGTCTTTGGACTCGACACTATCATTTGGAAATAGAATAAGGAATATTATCAAATTCCCAATTACTGATGTAAAAGTAGAATTTGTCAAAAACACGTCACATCACTATAATGCACCCCACCCACGGACATTTCATTACATTCTTAGTAATTTACTGATATTCAGTTTTAGATGTATTGGAAAATACTAGAGTAGTGCTTTATCCTTGTAGTTTTCTTTAATAATTTTGTGTGAATTTAAATCATCTATGTTTTTGGTTTTGGTGCACATTGTAACCACCCCTGTACCTTTTCAATCCAACATTCTCCACTTATTTTGTAATATGTTGTTATGAACCGTTTAAAATATTTATTTGCAGCCCTAAACACAGCTAATAAAACTTACCTCCTAAAACGTCAAATTTTAAAATTAAAATGTTAGCACTAAAATTTTTTGTGAAGCACTGTTTTTAAACTATTAAAAATCTAAAACATGACGCAAATAGCCATGGTGGAAAAGATTATCAACAAGTAATAACAGTTTTTTTTTTCAAACTAGTGGTCTGATTATTAATTTCAAAATAAAAAAGTTAACTATTATTATTCTAAAGCATTGCTATAAAAAAATATATTTAACTTCCCCAAATTCTATTGTTCATTAAATTCCAAACCTTGAAACTGCTTTAGCCTCCCTAGGAAATTTTAAATCTATATCAGACATACTTTAGATACTCAAATTTACTTTCACTTTGAAATAGTTTTGTGTATACTATATCCAGAGTCTAGATCAGTTGATAGATTCACAGATTTATTACAGTTTCAAGAAGATAAATTGGAGTTGATAGATTGTGGGTTTTTAAAATCTCATTTTCATTCACCTCAATTGATTCTGAAGGTACTCATCACATTTATTTCGTCGGTTGGTTTACCCGCATGTCTGTTTGTTTGTTTTAGCCAGTGTTCCTGCGACTAAGCATAGTTGGTGAGGCAGGTAGGGTAGTCTGTTGTGACAACCGCCCTCCGCTGCATGTTACCCCCTCCCTAGTCGAGCCTAGTGTGGCGGCTCGACTCTTGGAGCGAACGGATTCATCAAACAGTATCCAAATAATAGAAACCCATCTAGATTTTGTGAAACCTGTCAATGACACTATAGACGATGCTTTTGTAGATTTTCCAATCAGATTGGAAAATATGGACACACTCTTGGATTTTACAAAGGACAAACGAGAAAAATTGAGTTTCAGTAGGCTTAGCTCAGAGGGGAATATCGGTGTAGATTTTGACCCTGTGAAAGCTCCGTTCCGACCACTACCGCAGGTCGAGGAGCCAAAAGTCTATGATAGATATATAGTGAAGCGAGTGCAGTCTGCGTCGTTTGTGGAGGTTCCCCGTGTAGGTATGCTGCGTCAGGGGGGATGTAGATGCATGAGTGAGTCACAAAGTTGGCGAGCTCGTTCAGTCTCAATTTCTAGCCGAACAACAAACAATTGGAGGAGTAACTCTAGAGTTAGGCTTATTTCAGACTCGAATTTGCAAAACTCGCTTCTTCGATTGCAAAGTCACCACAGTTCCTCTGACGAAGAATGGTTTGAAGAAGTCAGTAATGACGAGAACAACGAAGACTCTGGGTTGAATAAAAGTGATAATAGTCCAAACAGTGAAATGACAGAAAGTAAAATACCTGTTCTCGAAGAAATATCTTTGGAGGAGCCCTACGAACCTATACAGAGTGTGGAAGATATTTCTGGTGGAAGAATTCCTCTAGAGTTGAAAACGGAATTGAAGTGTAAGAGCTGCTGCCCAATACGGTGCAGAAAGAAACGCAGATTGACCAAGAGTCAGAGGAACAGTATTAAATCCAACATCTCAGGGAACAAAGATAGTTTAGATAATGCTTCAATTGGTAATGACAGGTGTTGTTCAATATCGTGATATATCACTCAAAGTATACTTAGTGTACGTACAGTAATAAGCTGTTAATTATTAGTCTACTCAAACACTCTTAATGATTTTTCAAGCCATAGAGTTTATTGTAATATAGACAGTCATTAACTTTACCATTAGCAATAGTTTATGTTTTATGTTACCAAGTTAAATGTTTTATATAGTACCAGAACAAATATTATTGTTTTCAGTATTCAATCCAACCTTTTCCCTTTTAACGAGTCAATCTTGAGGCCTTTAGATTTGCTTCTGAACCTAGTCGTACAAAATAATTTTATTTCTTTTGTTTTTACTTAGTTTTACAGTCTCCGAAATATGTTACATTGTTTATAATATTGTTTTAATATTTTGTAACTAATCTTGAAAGTGATACGGTAAATGTCGAGGGCTATAACTTTTCTATAAGAAAATTTGACAATAGTAATTGAAAGGCTTGAATTTGAAGTCCAGAATTGTCTAGAAAATGTTTTTAGATTCTTAATTTTAAGCTGTACTGGAATACAAACTGCAATCAATGTTTTTACACCAAAGTTATACTATTAACTGCTAGTACAAGAGTTATAACATAGCGACTTTAGATCAATTAGTTACAAGTTTAATCTTCTCTAAAAAATATTTGAGGTTTTTTGGATTTTCACAGTGATATATATGTTGATGAATCCGAAGCTTACTTTTTGCTTCTTGTGTAGAGTAATGCATCATTGTTTCATCTGAAGCATTAGTTAATATTTGTTGTCACTTTTGTTTTTGTGTTGTTATGCACCTTCTTGTCATGTGGTGTTTTTATTCTTCTTTGTGATTTTGTAGATACTTTTATTTTTTTTTTCTGAAAATGTTTCAGTTTACCATAATCAAACTACGCTTTTTGATTTGCTTTTCTAAATTAGTATTGAATATCAGGTTTTGCAATTTCTTGAAGTTCTATATTAGCTAAGAACATTATTTATATTGAAAAATATTTATCGCCCATACAATAGGTTTCATTAATTGGCAACAGGAGTATTGTTTAAATTTGATTTGATTGTATAGTAACTAAGTAAAACGCCTTTGCTCATAGTTATGATTTAATCTAAAAATCACGAGATTGTGGCTACTCTGGTGGGTAGGGCCAACATTCCAAATAAAAATTAATTTTAAATTAAACCTCATTGTGTAAAAAGTGAGGCTTTCAATTTAGATGTTTTTTTATTATAGTTTCAATATTTAGATTACAAGGCTTTTTGACCCTTTATTAACCATTTAGGATATTTTGTTTTGATTCAGAATTATTGACTCTCTTATATGGACAAAAGCTTAGTGTGACAACATTTCATCTAATATCGATTTTACTTTATGTAGTCTTGAGTTTTTTGACATTTATTGTGCTTGTATGTACAAATAGCATTTACAACAACCTATTTTTTCGTACGTATTGTATCTTTCCAATATTTTATAGATTATTCCTATTTTATGTAACCACTATGTGGTTTTGAAACAGAAATCAAACGAATTGAGTACCTAAAATATAATCTAATCATGCTAGTAACCTTTTGTGTTTGAATTTTAAGCAGATTAAAACTAATTCGTAAATCAAACCAGTAAATTAAGTTTATGGAAAGTTAATATTATATTATTGTGCTACGCTTATAGTATACTAAGTTTTACAAATAAAATATTACACTTTTCCAATTATTTTTTGATAAATTTTATTTTTCCCTACATACAAATATATTCTAAGATCTCTTTTTTTGGTGAGATTAAATGAAGAACAATAGGTTGAGTATATGTGTTGGAATTTAGCTCTTCATATTAATTTTACATTCTCTCTTAGCCCAATATTTTCAATCCAATTCAACTCAAATGCAGTGAAATTTGTTAGATAAAAATTCCAGAGATCTTAGGATTTTCCCAAAAACCCCATTAGATTCAAAGACTAGCAATTTATCATTCAGTAATTCATCTGGATTTTTGTTATTTGCAAAATTAATTTAAAACCTTGTTTGAAAGTAAATTGTAATATGATGACAATATGGAAATAATTTTTAATGTCGAATCAAACATTTTGATGAGCGATCTAAGGCGTTGTCTCTGGTTAGAAGATTCAGGGTTCGAATCCAGTCGTAGGTCTGATTTGCAACTCATGAGAAATCTGTAATAAAGTGTAGAGGAAGAGACACATGTAAAATAAAATGGTGGACGTGTTGGGTGAAACCATTTGAATTTCGCTTCAAATGAGGGTTTCTGCTACTTTTGGTAATCCTTTCTGTAAGTTTGTCCATTAAAAACTTATTTGAAAACAGTTTTGCATTTTTTGTTTATAAGGTAAAACATTATAAATAAACGGTATCAACAATCTGAGACATACTTTCTCCCATTAGCTTGTCAAAAACCTTTATCATAAGTAAGCGGTGGGAGTAACTATGTTTTATGGACAAATCCTAAAAGTAATAATAATTTTTAACTGTAATTTTTACAGTAATGAGGGTATTACCATATTTTTAGGTAAAAAGAATATAACTACCTAACTACTAAATTTTAATCGTTTTAGCTATTTTTGTAAAAATCAGACCTTTTTGTTATTTTATGGGAAAATCACCATTAAAAATTAAAATGAAAAAACCCTGAAGATACCATGGATTAGACCAACTCAGCAAATTTCATCAAAATTATACCACAGGCGTGGTCTGTATTTCTGTACACACACACATACAGACATCACTTGGAAAATCAATTTTTTTTTAGGTTGACCAAAAATGGATATATCCACCCAAAACTTAAACTCGAAAATGTTGATGAAAATATTACTTTTTTCCATATAAACGTGTATAGGGGGAGAGAGTAAAAAATTCATAGTTAAATCACTGAATAATTGAACAGTTCAAAGAGGAACATTGTGAATCTGTTGTAGTAGTGAATTTACATAATTATTTATTTTTTTAACAGTTTTGCACCATTTAGGCAGGTATAATGGAGCAATTCTGTAGTTCTACTTTGTAAACATATGTAGTCTGTGGGAATTTGTCTTTGACAGGTTTTATTTATTTATTTATTTTTTTTTTATATATATAATGACAGAAACATAATGGTTCTCTTGCATATAATTTGTGTTTAAGGGATATTAGACCGTAGTGTGATTAGCATGTTCCATATTTTGTTTTGCTCTTGTGTTTTTGTGTGATTTTATTTCTTTGTTGTTTCATTTTCGCATAGAAAAGTAACTGGAAGTTCCAAGATATAGGTGTGAACCTTGCTTGAGTAGTGTTATTTCAATAAGTTGTTGTTTGGGTGAGTAGTATTTTGTTCCTAAGTATTTAGTTAATTGTTTATCACTGATTTGATACAGCTAAATATTTGATTATCAATCGAATTTGCTTCATATCATTAATTTTTACATTTCAATATGGGTTACAACTTGGTGAAGCAAAAGTATAGATTGGGAAATATAATTTTTAATAACAAACATACCGTTGTTTAGAATGTTATTTCTGAAATGTTATTTATTATATGTATGATATTAAAATCAATTTGTGCATTTGCAATACCTCGAATCAAAAGCATTTATTTTTAAGGCATAGTAAAAAATAATATAAATAAAATATTAAGCCACTAGTTTAGAAAATGGGTGTTTTCTGGACAAGAATGGGTGTTTCCATACCCATGGGATTACCATATGAGTGCAGTAAACTAATTTTGATGTGTAAACAGCTGTTTTCAGGAAGCATTAAAACAGTGTAGTGTGGCAAAAAAATACACTAATTTTTTATCAATTTTTCTGATATCTCATGAAATCCTTGGTCAACAGCTCATTGTGTTATTTTTCAGGAGCTAAGAATGCAGACGTATGGGAAAGATCGAACATTGTTGTGGACGAAAGGATGTTAACTGATCCTGCATCTATCACAAGATATATTCACTACAAGGACTCCGAACCACCGAAGATATTCAAGGAAACCACCGTCTAATCTTCCACCAGCACAGCATTGTAGTACAGATATAATTTTATAAGATGGCACTTGGCTCCTCTAGAAAACATCAGGCACTGTTGTTACTCTTCATCCGTAGATTGCTTACCACCCCTTAGACAATCTATTAGCACGCTTCCATGAACAACCTAGTTCAAAATCCAATAATAAAATTGCATGTGATTATTAATTATGCAGTATTCTCAAAAATAATTTAACAATCATTTCTGTTCTTATCTAATTTAAATTGGATTCCTTGGACGGTTTTATATAGTTTAACTTTAAGAGAAAATGAAAGTTCACTGGAAATAAGTATTAAAAAGAATATTTATTTCACTCCGTAGTGATATTCGGTTTCCTATTATTTCTACTATAATGAATGTATAAATAAAAATGTCTTTTATTAGCAAGCGCTCCTCAGTACAAACTGTTTTATAGGATGAGTCTTGTCAATTAACTAATCCTAACTTAAAACTAAAGACAAAACAAAATACCCCTATTTACAATATTTTGGGTATCTACAACTATATACATTTTCTTCAGCCTAGATCTAAAAGCTGGGACACCCAGCATCTTAAGGTTACAGGGGAGGTCATTGTACAGTTTAGGATACATTGAGAAGTAAAAATAAGTTTATTTAAATCTCTAATTAAAGTTAAACCATATAATAAAGAAATATTTTTGAAACAATATTCTCTACTCCATAATGAAATATAATATTGGTACTTTCTGATCCCGATCAGTATATTTAATATCAGCCGCTTGTATGTACAATGCGAAGATTATTTGGTTTGGTTTACAAAGCTTGAATGATAATGAATGAACTATGATGATTTAGTCCAGACAAATTTGCTACATTTGCAATCCTAGCAATATAGAAAGCGGCTTTTAAAAAAAATAGTCAATTACTTTATGTTAAGGAAACGTTGCACATTGCGTTTGTGTAGTGTTATTGTTATTTATTGCAGCTCTTGAACTCTGGAATCTTCGCAGCCGAGTCCTCTGATTTTGCGTTATTGCTGCTCTCCGAGTTGCTGCTGAAGTTAATGATGAATGATTCCGTGATGTCATATCACCTATGTATGATGTTCGCATTTTAGCTTCCATCGGTCTTGGTCTATCGTAGAAAAATTTTCATAGCAGAGCCTTTGAATGTTGTGTTTTGTATTAGTTGTGATGCGATGGCAAACTCGATGAGTTGGGGGAAGTCCAAGGGTTGATGTCTTTTAAAAGGACCTGAGCGCATTTCCACCTTCCCCTTGCCAAGGGCTGCAGCCCCTAAGTGCCACCTTATAAAATGTTATCTGTACACGAGTGCACCAATCCTATGTCTGCTAGATACATTCGCTACAAGCACTCTCAACTTCCCAGGATATTCAAAGAAACCACCTGTTACTCATGTGTCTCTTTCACTCTTCCCAGAATTTGTTGATGTCTCATTGTTGCAATGGTTTGTAAATAATTTAAAATTTTATACCTTATACAGATCCGTTACATGTCCTGAAATGTCAATGTTTGAATGTAAGTCTATCTAAATGTATGTTTGTTGTTTACATAGATTAACGGATACGATTTCAAAGAATTTTTTGGTACTTGATAGTTAAGTATGGCTATGCAATTTTTTAAACTTCACTGATTGTGGTCTCATATAATTAAAATTATTAAAATGTCTGTTATAGCCATACATTATTTGTTAATGATTTTGTTGTTGCCACAATTACAAGAATTACAAGAACAAATATGGTTAGCAAGACTTTAAATTCAGAAAACTCGTTCTCATACTAAAAATAAAAAAAGTTATTTAGATATATAGTTTGAGCAAATATTATAGCTGCTTTTCTTAGTTCATTTTTTCACCTAACGGTGCCAATTACGATCTGCGAATGCATATTTTCTTTATTACTTAACTTTTGTGCACGATATTTTTAAAATGTTATTACAGTACATACAAAAAATTATTTAGATTAGAAGTAATATTTTTAATTATTGATGATTTTACTGTAAAATTATTAAAAATATTAATGGGAACTCCTTAAAAAAATGTACAAAATTGTAATATGCTTCCTATCCTACACTATAGACAAAGGCCACCAATTTGTAAAATGAATTTGTTATCACGACCCATGATCATTTTCATTGTTTATGGTAACAGGGTATACATCAGGATAAAATAACACCAAGGTTTCAAAGACCAATTGTTGACTAATTTTATTTGATATGACAAGACAAATATTTTTTATTCGTAAATTTTTAACATTTATAAGTAAAAATATAAAATCCAGGAGTAATAAATTCCACTTTGTACTAACAAAGTTTGTGTTATTGTTTATATACAATACCTTTATAATATGAGTATATGATTACTTTCTTCTTTGATAACTATTTGTTAAAATTATTATAATTTTTGTTTTTAATTTTCGTAGGTGTTTTTACCCTAATAAAAGGTACTCTTTTAAACCAAATATTGTAGTAAATAAATGTATATACATGAGGATTAAGAAATGTATACATATGTACCTTCTTTAATTTATCTTGAGTAAAAGTAAAACTTGATTTTATTTTTATATTTTTTGTTTGTATAGAAATATGTAAATAGTATCATAGCTTATGAAATTAATGTTAAATGTTAACAGTTCTTCTACAACTTGCTATTGCTTGTTTTATTGTCGTGAACAAAATAGCGTGTGTATAAAGCTGTGATGTATAGTAATCATGCTGATAAACTATCCTAAAATAGGGTATCACCCTAAAATAAATTTTAATAGTCGTTAAACGAGTTATCCTTTTTAGTTAAAACTATTATCTTAAACCTAGAATCCCTACGCTTAGATTGAAAGGATATTTTGTCATCCTTTTGGTTGGTTGTTGTGAACGAAATGAGCTCTTCTTCTATATATTTTTTAATTTGTTTGTTGAATTTCAGAATGGTATGAAAATGTTGTTATTGTGTTCTTAATTCTATTAATTATAATAGGTAACTTGTTACTGTAGAGTAACTTTTCATGGCTCACAGTAGTTTCACTGAATTGTTTTAATTTTGTTTTATTTTTTTACCCTAAAAATTTACAGTACTTATAAAATTATGCTGATGTTTGTACCGTTAAAAATCAAATATTTCAAAGTACATAACGACCCAATGATTCAAAATGCATTGGTAATGATGATCCATTACGTTGGGATTCTAGACTTCTAGGTCTATTATTTACTGTTAATGAAAAACAATCTAATCTTGTGATGTCTATTCTTAAGCACCTTCAACTATCTTGCACTAGTCTCACTCATTCTAAATCTATTATTAATTTGTTACGCTTTAAACTATTCTGGGACGTGTGTTGAATTAGCGTAGAATGATGATTAAAATCGTAGACTTAGATTATTGATAGACCAGTATTGTACTTTTAAGTTAACCAGTCCTTTTGTAGTGTGTAAGCATCCGTCTTAACAAGCTTTAAAGTTTCTTTAGGATAGAAAAGTTGCCATTTGTAGTTACCTTTATTTTTTAAGCTGTTTCTAGGTTAAGTTAGTTAAAAAGTTAGTTTTATTTATGTGTGATATTCCTTTTAGTGTAAAACAACTTAGTTATTGCTCAAGTAAATCTAGCTTTCTTTAGTTTAGTTTATTGCTGATTACAGTTATTTGCTGGTTTTGGTGTGGTAAACAAATAAGTAGGCCTAGCCAATAGGATTGTTGAAACTGTGACCTTTAAACATAAATTTAGTTAAATACTCTTAGATTTAAAACTTGTAAATTTTCTATGTGGTTGGTAGCTTTTAATATTGACTTGTGTTTTAATTATTTGTGTATACACCACTGAATTTACGATAAAAATTCAAACAAATTCTTTTAGCGCTCTTACGTTTATCAACTGTTAAAATATTTTGAACCCTACAACTCTCTGTCATGTTAAAACCTTTGATTTATTATAGGCCTAATTTACTTTCACTTTAGAAGGTATTTAAGATACAGTATACAGAAAAAGATACCTGAAACTCAGGAAAATCGATCTCATTTCTAGTCATTGATTTATATTCTGTATTAGTTTAATATATTGTTTTCCTATATATAATGTTTGTGCTGAATTAAACTTGATTACCTACATTGTGTATTCCGTTCCCTCTTTGTTCTCTTCAAAATCCTTGGGGAGTTGGACCCTGGTAAAATTTTAACACAATAGTAGAAATCTTGCAACCCTGACAGATGTACTAAAACAGATCTACATTCTAAAAAAAATCATAAAATAGGCCTAAGTTAAAAATATTGATTCTGTTGTTTCAAAAATAGCCACCGTTAAAAAAATTGCAGCTAACTGATTGGAACAGTCGTATGCTATGGTCTTGAATGTAGATAGATTAAGACTTCTTTATTCTATGCATTTTTTCTCTCTCTAAATTTTCTCGTTTAGGAGCTACATGATGCAGAATGTACACCACAAGCCAGCAAGCCTAAACTCCTAAACAGGTAACTTTAGAGAAAGAATGTCAAGAACAATCATAAAATACAGGGTGTTCCATAAGAAATAACAAAGTTGACGGCCATGTTGGAAAATGGCGGACATATTAAAAAAATTCTAAACCATCCCAAAAGACATCTTAAAAAATAAAGGGGAGTGTCCCATAAGAAGTTAACTTCTTATCTCATAATAAAAGAGTTAGCTATTGGTTCACTTCAGGTGAGACACTGTGTATATTTTCTTGTTTCTCAATCTTTAGAGGATTTCAAACTAACCAAAACAACATACAATATTGATACTAGGGTAAAATTAATATACACATTTCATTTGTAGCCTGCCTTTACCATGAGAAATTATATTAGCGAAATAGGTCTAAAAGAACTAGATAATGCCCTAGCAAATTTTGCTCCTAATTTTTAGTCTTACCAACCTAATTCAAACACATAATAAAAAAGTTCAAATTAATAAACAAAAAGCCACCAAATTTATACAAAAAAGTAAAGCCTACATGTATTTTTCCTACTGTTTACAAAAAAATTTATCAATATCATTATTTTTATAATTTAGACTCTTTAAATCAAAAGCAGAGCCTGGGTTGATACAGCAATGGTTATAGAATATTTTTTTATTTCCATTAATATTAATGACAGTTTAAGAATAAATAATCAACGTCAAAGTTTTTGTATAAATAAACCTACCACAAAGTTGTATAATATGTTATTATTTCATTTGTTTGGATCAGCTATAAGAAATTGTGAAATAAGCCTTCGGCAGTTCTGCTTTTTTACATTGAAATGTCAACGCAAAGATAAAATTGTGAATTTTATCATGCTTGCTTCCATGGGGACCAATAATTATTAATATTTACTTTTGAAAACCTCACATCAAAACTTTGGACGTCCAAGGGGCATAGCCGGAGAGGAATTTGGGGAAGTGAATAGACCTTTGACATTGACACTCATGGATATGTGGACCATCTTTGTGCTTAATCTTTGCTGTATCGGTTTAGTATTTTAGTCATGGCAGCGGACAGACAGACAGACAGAAACCACCTCAATTTTATAATAGTATATATTGATAGTTTATGGTTTTGTTACTAAAGACATAAGTACAAGTTAAAAATGTACTCAAAGAAAAGATTTGTCAACAACATTTACATAACAAACACACAAATGAAATCAAAAACATGCTTTAGATTTTAGAATAAAATGAGATGTCTAACTGCAGTAAAGTCAGTGAATGCAGGTTTAAAGATAGTTCAACCACAGACAATGGAAAAACACCTTTTTACCCTCCCTGTTGCAGCAACCAAGTGCAAGTACTTGTTAAACTAATGTTATTTAAATAGGGAATAAATGTTATATTTTTAAGGAGACATTTTAGTGTAAATTCAATCAGGCAAATAGAAATTCGGTTAGTCTGCAGGTTTGCTGCGGCGGGGGTATTATATTACCTTACCTAAACAGTAAACCTAAGTACTCATTTAAATTGATGTTATTTAAATAGGAAATAAATATGATTTTTTTTAGATAGATTGAATTTTGTTGTCATTGTGACAATAAGTATTTACTTCTCAAGACCCACCCGTAACATTGAAGGCCTAAAACAAATCCGTAGTCAACTTCTGGGTATACTTTATAGGCTTACAGGTCAATAGTCGAAAATTGTGTCTTATTTCAACTAATGTTGATCAAAGCTGCCATGTTTCGTTGCACGTTTAAATTATTTGGTGTTTTTGACGTAAAGCTCCGACGATGTTGCAGTGCAACGAAACATGTCAGCTTTGATCAACATTAGTTTAAATAAGACACAATTTTGGACTACTGACGGAGGCAAGCCTATAAAGTCATTATTCATAGTCCAGCCCAGGGGCTATCAGAATGAATAATTCTGGGTATAGTAGTTACATGTGTGAGAAAATTCCACTATTTTTTCAGTACCTTCTTTATCGAGATATACAAAATCAGACGGACGTTTTCTTCCTGAACAAACAAAAATACCTATGAGTTGTTCGAATGAAATTTGGGATACTCAAATGGACAATAGTAACACTTAAACCACCTGATAAAAAAAATGAAATTTTTAATTTTCCAAACTTAGAAGGTTGTATGTTTTAAGAAGATAACATAAATAAAACAAAACATGACATTAATTTACCTAAATCAACTTAATGAAGGCAATGTGGAAAAGGTATAAATCCATGGATCTAACTTTGAATATTTCAAGCTAAATTTCCCCAAAGTTTACGTTTCGAAAGTGGAGATGATTGGAATTGTCTATTGGTTTTAGAGGAACATTATCAATTTTGTTTGTGAACTTTTGAAACAATATGATTTGGACCGTTCCCTTTTGAAAATTATTATACATTAACCATAAAAAGGACGGTCACTAACTTTAACGAGAAATAATTTATTTGACGAACTTCAAAGCTAATCAATGCTGTTATATTTATTCAATATTTTAGGGAGTTTCTATGTCGTTTGCAACCTTTTTTAGGGCAGCTTTATTTATTTTTATGAATACTCGTAAATTGTTTTCTCCATACAAGGAATAGAAATGCCATTTTAAGACAATATTTTATAATGTTTAATTAGGTAATTGGTATTAGCCTAATCTGCAGATTTGCTTCGGGAGGGTATTTTACATTACGTTGTAGTTATTCTAATGTTATCTAAAGCACAGATAATATAACCCCTTTATATTATCTGTGGCTAAAGACACAGAAGCCAGAAAGCTAGCGCTTCTGCGGCGATAAGAGGCAACTGGCCTAGTAGTTTGTGTATTCGCCACTAGATCGTGTGGTCACTGGTAACGTAAATACTGTAGTTAATTTATAACTATTAATTTATATTAAATCAAGAAACAAAATAGGCTTCAGCTAGTAAGATAATAATAAACTATAAATTGAAAATGTCGCATTTTTTTTTAAAGTTAAGGCCGTGGTGGGTAACAAAAAAACCTTCTTATCCGTTGACTCCCGCACTGGATAGTCAGATCGATAATAAATAAATACTCCAACTCTCCACGACAATGTTTGCTTTTCTGATTCTGATGAAAAAGAATTTTATTTCATCAGAATCGGAGGAGTTGAAGACAAAATCAAACATTATTCGGAGGCCATGAATCGTATCCCTTAGTTGGGGACGAGGGAGTGGCACATAGTAGTCCTCGATGTATTCACGTACATCACCTCACACCTCTCCTTCTAGTACAGTACATTCATTCGATATCTACCTACTACAATTTAGTTCGTTACGTGTTTTATAGTGATCCCGTTATTACAGATTAATTTATAGGTTAAGAGTCTATTATTACTTTTATTTGGACACTAATTCGTTGTTATGTAACTTGTTTTGAGGTAAATGCATGTAGTTTACGCCTGTTTTATTCTCAACACTAGGTTTAGACCTTTTTACTAATATTCATTTATGTTATACCTACTTAAGGGGGCAATGTACCCAAAAATACTTTTTATTTATAAATGGCCTAGATTTTTTTTATCAAAGTGTATCCTAGTGTAAAACTAAAAAGAAAATATGATATGAAATATGATAAAATATGATTAAAAAAAACATACGTTTACGTTTTACAGCATAACTCCTTTGGTACCTATAGCAATAGCACGTATTCCATTTTTTTTTAAACTTTGTTTTAAAGCTAATAAATAGCCTTCCAAACTGTAGCATAGCTTTTGATATGTTATTAAAAAAAGATAAAAGACATTTTATTTTAATTTTTTTACAAAATTTAGTTTATTTTTTTTTATAAAAAATATGTAAGGATTATGGTTAATAATATGTAAATTTTCATGATACTGTTTGTGCACAATAATATATTGAAGAACATATGTACAAAATTTGACTTCTCTAGCTAAAAAAATAAAAAAGTTATGGTGTTAAACGTAATGGAGAACACTAAAAAAGAAATATGCGGGAAATTGCAAAAAAACTCTTTGCTTCCAATAGGCGCCTGAAGCAGAAAAACCAGCTGTGGACCACAGACAATGGAAACATTAAAGTATTATATTGTCTGTGGTTCAACAATGTAGCGGTAGTGTACTGAACCAGCCGCTAGGGGCGCCACACATTGCTTGGCGGGAGTCCTATCAGCTGGGAAGCAGTAGCAGTGGCTGTGGTTCTGTTGCGCCGTTGTGATTTGTGTGGCAGTGGCAGTGGCATTGTCGATTGTCGCGAGTCTCCGGGTGGAACTAAGTGAATGGTGTTCGGATAGGTGTTGGTATGGTAATCATGGATTACAGGGATTTGCTCACGGGTAAGCTCATAAATAATTTAATAACCTATGAATAGATTGTGGTGAAAAATCAACCAAAATGTTGTCTTTTCTGAAAACCCCAACTTCGAAATATGTTTTGTGCATGCACATTAGGATTTTTTGTATTATTGATTGGTATCGTATCGTAAGTTTTTTTATTTAAGGTCGTAGAATTTCAACTTGACTTTTAACACTTACACATACAGTAGTTTCAAAGCAACAAAGTTGGTAATATTAATACTTTATATTGAATGTATATTTGTTATATTAGGAAATATTTCACCTTTACTCATGTTAACGCTTTGTTCATGTAAAATAAAATTTAAATATATCAAATTCTACATCATTAAGCCAAATGGATGTTG